GGTTCATATCAATTACATAACACAACTTGTCTGCCCCTGTTGTTTGGTAGGGATCGATGTTGGCCTGTAAACAATGGCAAACATTGATTTGTCGGACTGTAAATAATGGCAAACATTGATGAGCATCTTCCCAGTGACTCATCCTTACAGATGTATGGACAGAAAATGACAGGGGCATTTGCTGTCAGAGCACTTCATGGAGGGATGGGCTGGGATGGCACCAGCTGGGAGTGCAGCACATCTGAGGTAAAACTGTCATCCTGGAATTAGCCCTGGCTTGGGGGCAAAGTGGGGAATTTCATCCCAAATCTGTTGCATAAAGAAAAGAAAAGGAGGGCAAAGTGTCTGGCTGCAGTGTGCTTCATGATTATAAAAAAAATTATGCAGATTGAGGGAGGAACTAGATGTTCTACAGAACATTTAGAAACAGATAAAAACTGTATTGCTAGCATTTAAGGTGAAAAGGAAATTAATATTGTGGTTATCCAGATACTGATTAAATACAGACACATTTGTGTTGGGGCTGGGGGACGTTCAGACAGTGCAAGTACAGTACAACCTCTGAAATGAGCTAAATATTCCCACCATGCAATTGCTACTGATATTCCCAAATTACAAAAATAGGCATATGTGTGTAATTTATATATCTAGAGACATTTGGCGATGTTGCCACAACAGTCTTTCACGAGCTGCTTAGGTGGAATCATGGGAGGGTGAGATTAATTATCCCTGTGGTACATTTTTTGCCTCTTAAAATTATATGTGACAATATGATATCTTTATTTTTCTGGCAGTAAAACCACCTGTTCTATTTAGAAAATTATCTATTAAGAATACCAGGTAATGCAGTGCAGCCATAAAATAAATTGAAATAATGTCCTCTTGATACAGTCTCAAAATCCTGAGTAATAAATGACTGAAAACTTGTTTTTGGCCCAAATCGCTGAGCATGCTTCTCCTCAATCCCCTCAAATTGCACCATCCAATAAATGATTGTATTGTAGCATTTACAGAAGTATAGATGATTGTGATCAGAGAAAATTCATACCTGTTACACATTCCAGAAGGAAAATACTTGACAGATACTGAAATGTGGGTCTCTGGCTTCAGTGTAGTAAAATATACTTCAAAGTTGTGACCTTTATTAGTGCTTGAGTAGGGTAGATACTTCAAGAATTACTAATTGTTGATATAATCGTAATAACAACTAATGATTTAATAAATAGTAATGATTAAATGTCATTGTAAAATTGTCCAGATGTGGGTGGAGCCCATCAGCATTTGGCCTGGCATGGACATCAGAAACACTGATTTAAGAATCTGTGTTGCTTCCACAGATCTACTACAGCACAGGTCAAAGTTTGCCCCAAGCTGTGTGACTCTGACCTGATGTCCTGGTCCTGCTGGAGCTGCAGTGACCCCACCCAGTCCCCGAGGGTCCTGCTGAGCCCTCCCTGCAAGGTCAGAGCCTGGGATGGACATTTCGGTGAAAGCTGGTGCCTGCAGCCATAGGGATTGAGGAGAAGTTTGTTAGAGTGAAAAAAAGGCTTAGGAAACATTGAGTATCATGGGCCATCTTTTTAAGACTGTTTGACAGTTCCCAGCCAGTAGCTAAAGCTAAAGGAAAGCTTTAATTATTTTCAAGAGGATTAGATGAGAAAGATTTGGAGAGCTTATTTATTTTGTTTTGTTTTGATGTTTTAATGGCAATTTTAATAGTTTCTTAATCTATGTCTTAGCAATTTTAATCTGTCATTGACTGTAATGAGTTTGGGATATTTAGCTAGAACTGTAGGAAATTAAATGTATTGTTGATCTTTATTATTTTATCTCCTCTCTTCCCTTTGGCAATAGGAGTTATTTGAGTGGGTTGTGTATATATGTGTGTATATATATATATATATATATATATATGTACCAGTCTATTTTAAATATGTATTGCATGTAAAACCAACTAAATCCAAGGCTGAATGATCAAACTTTTGCCCTTCTTCTTTATGAGGATATAATCCTTGGATTAGGATAAAGGTCCTTGTAGATAAAATGTAATTTATTTATCTGAGAGAACTTTCATGTCTTTTAGGATTGCCATTGTATTTTTACTTGTGTCAGTGGTCACTTTGGTAGCAAGGTCTGTCCTTTCAGAACATGGTGTGCTTATATCAACACACAAATACACACATCACACACTTACACGTGTCATCCACACATAAAATCCACTCAGACACAATCCAGATGTACAAAGTGCCTCTCTGGATTTTTGGCTATTTTTACAGCTATATGCTGAAGATGCAGAAAAGTGTTCTTTTTTAATAGTAAATTAGGTGACAGCTCTCCAGCCAGAGGAGAACAACACTGAGGAATTCTCAGCATAGGTATATAGCCCACAGCACCATCAGCCTTATGAGTAGGAAAAATATGAAACATCTAAACTGAAAATATCCCAAAAGGTGTGAATGTGTTATATGGAGAGACAAAGTCATTCTGTTCTGTGTGTCATCAGGTAAATTCCATTTAAATCTTTCAGTTCACCTCCTAAAGAAAAAAAAAAAAAAAGGAATTTAATGTAATAATCTGACTCCTTGAGTTAAAATTTGTGTCTTTTCCTCCTTTTTGGATGTTAGCTGCAGGATTGCCATTGAGATGGGCAGAGGGAGGAAAAGATCAGAAAGAAAATAACCTCTTGCGTTATTCTCACAGGTTTATGACATGTCTGTATTTGTTGTATTACATTTGTGTGTGTGTTGTGTACATCTGTTCTCCTGGATTTCATGGGGCTGTTATTCCCCTCACCCACCATCCATCCCTCAGTAGCCATTTGAAATGTTGGTACTAAATAACAATACAGAACTAAGAAGACAAAAAGATGAATCCAACACTTTACCCCAGATGCCTCCGTTCATTAGCTTAAGGTACCTGCACAATCATTTTTGTTTTATGATATAATTTCTTGAAAATGTCTCTTTCACACTGTTTCCTTTGTGGGTTGGTTTTAAAATTGTCATTCGAGATTGAACAGCACCAAAAAGCCGAGGAGGCGGAGGAGGAGAGAAGGAAAGAGCGAATATGGAGGAGAAAACCGAGTTTGACCTGCAAGTCAAGATGAGCCCGAGGTCCCGAGGAGCCCCGTGGCCGGGTCCCCGCTGGCCCCGTGCCGGGAGCCGCGGTGCCCGGGAGCCGGCGGAGATCCCGGGAGTTCGCGAGGCACAAGAGGTGGAAGCCGGACGATGGCAGCCCGGGATGGAGCAGTGAGCTGCTCCGAGCGTTTCACTGTAGAGAAGCCCCCCAGGAGCGGCGAGGCAGAAGTTTGTGTTGCGGGCTCTGCGCCTCTCGGTGGTACCGCCGGGCCGGGACAGCGCGCAGGCAGCGGAGAGGCGGCATTTCCTTCCCCCGGCTCCATCGGCGGTGCGCTCGGAGCGATGCTGGGAGCCGGGCTGCAGCTGCGGTGCCCGGGTGCCGCCGGGATTTGCCGGGAGCTCGGGGGGGGCGGCGGGGGGCGGCGGCGGCGGCGGTGCCTGCGGTTCACATGCCCCGTGCGGAGCGGGCACAGCGGCTCCGAGCGCCCCGGGACCGGCCGCCCCTGCCCTGGGCTCGGGCTGCAGCTCCTCCTGCTCCTCCCCGGCACGATGCGCGCAGGACATTAGCGGCTCCGGAGCACTTTGAGTTGCTCCCACCCCGCTCCGTGGGATTAATCTATCCTTTTGGAGGTTATTTTCGGCAAGCAGCCTCGCAGGCGGGCAGAGCGGCCGGAGGAAGAGCCCGCGGCAGGGGAGGGATGCGGGAGCAGGGCAGCGGAGCCGGGCGGGACTGAGCCACCCGCAGAGGAGAGGAGGAGAGGGAAGGAGAAGAGAGGAGAGGAGAGGAGAGGAGAGCTGCCCTGCTCCCTGCTCCCGTGCCGGGCTGCCTGCATGGCTCCCGGGCACTGTGGAGATTGTGGGGGCTGCTGCTGCTGAGCAACCATCCATCGCTTTAAACTCAGCCTCAACTTAGCGCAGCAGGCAAGAATGGCAAAGCCACTGGAGCTTTGGAGCTGCCAGGAGAGCCGGGGAACCTGGGTTTTGGTCGCTGCTGTCTAATAAATGGGAGTAAAATGGAATTTCTTACCTGGGTTTTTCCTGCCTTGATTCTACTGTGCACCCAACAGCACAGGTGTATCAGGTAAGAAAACATCTTCTCATTCTTTCTTAGACTGGCCTCAGGCAGCCGTTCTCTCGGGGTAGCTGGAGTGAGTGATGCCAGCTCTGGCTGGGGCTCCCACTTTTGCCCAGGGATGCTTTCTGCACTTATGGGCCATGACTGCTTTGAGTGAGTGTTCAGGAGAAAAAGGGCCCTTGACTGAAGAGTTTCCTTAATGTGCCTCATCTGTTTCAGTTTTTTCTTTCTTCATTCCCTAGCTGAGAATGCACTTCTGCCAGTTGAGCAGCACTTTCTTGGCTTAGTCAAGGGCGGTGTTTTTAACAGGATGCTCCTGGAACCTTTTTCCCGAGGGCACTTACTCTAAATTGGGGGCAATCACTTTTTCTAAGGCACTGCAATATCCCAGCTCAGCCTCAGCCCCTCCAGCAGCTCTGTAGGGGCCTGCTTGAACATGAAACTCTTCCATAAACCCCAGCACAGCCAGTGGGGTACGAGCTGAATAGCTTTGCTTAGGGCCTCCCTAGGTGCCATTAAAACCACAAAATACAACTATCCCTTTCTAATGAGTTCATTAAGTCTCCTGAACTTGGGTTAGCAGGAAGAGACCTTAGGGGAGCAGAGATCTTAGGGGAAAAAAATTTGTAGAATGCAAACCATTTTTTAAAATAATAAATTTTAAAGAAAGATATGTATTTGCAGCTCTCAGTCACATTCCCTCCGAAGGTGTTAGCTAGGCAACCAGCGACGGTCTCGGTATATTCTTATTCTCTCCAGATCTGGAGGCTGGATGTGGAGAAAGCTTGCCATGATTACGCAATGAAAATAGAGGGGGGAGTAAAAAAGAACTTGCTGCATGTAAAAACATGCCTACACCCCCCAGAGCAGGGGTGGTTGTGGCATTAAAGGGGTCTTACATCTTCTGCTTCATAGATATCCTTAATAGCTTCAGAGGAGTGGAAGAGGCAAAGTGGGAACTGTAGTAAAACATGACATTGTTGTTACATGTTTTGGAATTAATCAGGGAGATCTGATTTTTTTTCACTGGGAAGGAAAAGAATCTTGCTCAGAGAAAGTGTCAAGTCAACTGCTCCTAGTCAGGATTTGACAGAATGATTTATCCTGTGACCTTGAATCTGTTATCCAGGGTCACATCCTGACATCCTCAGACTCTGAAGCAATCCAGTGGTACAGTGAAGGCAGAGGAAATACTGCTTATTACCTAAGGGCACCCAGATCTTGCCCATCATTTCAATGATCCTGTTTCTCCTTCTGCAGCTGGGCTACCATTGAAGCTGGGGGTTGAAAAGTGATGTTTGAGTACATAAGACCAAAAAAAGAGAGAATTTTAAGGAAGAGTCAGTCTTCTCAGCCTCTGTCTCCAAGGTCTGCTCCTAGGCACAGCAAATGCCAGGATACTGTGTTTGTTGGATACATTATTTATTTTATTATTAATTCCCTAATTGACTTTCTTTCTCCAGTTACACAATAGTGATGAATTGCTTGGTAGGAATACAACCACTCGTGGCAGACTCAGGCAAGGCAAATTCTAACTTCTGAAATTCCAACTGTTCAGGTTGCAGTCTTCCAAATATTTCAAAGTGTGAGACATTCCATGGTCAAGGAAAGATTCTCTATTTGGATTCAGGATTTAGGGTGGCTGTAGTAGGACACTGTTTAATCTTGTAAAAAGGGAGTAGCCTTGCTTGCATGTGTATTTGGATCAGTTAAACAGAACTAAATGAAATTTTATCCTTGCATTAGTAAAAATAATTTTGGTACGAGATGCTTTTATGAATAGCAGCATATTAATGGGCAAAACTGCCAATGGCTTCATTTTAAAGCCCTGATTTTGTTTTCTAAATGCAGTGTGATTCAGAATTTTGATGATAGAGGCCACCCAACACCCCTAAATTCTCTGCTCCTGAGTTCTGTGCACTGTATATTGAAAAAAACCCCATATTCCAAAGAGGAAGAACATTTTGGTGATTTTGAAATTCACCAGTAAGACAAAAGAGACAAAAGACTTCCCAAAAGCAAAACTACCAGTGAAAATAATGTTGTGGTTTGGCAGAGGGGGGAAGTGGGGGATGTATGCAGGCTGCTTCCTCAGAGCATTTCTGAATACCCTTCTGGGGTGCTCTAGCTGTGTGTAAAGCAATTTCTCTGTCATGTGTGTTATTTGCCTGAAGTGAATGAGCCAAATTCAGCCTAAGTCAGCACATTTTTGTCAGGTAAACATTTTTTTTTTAAATAGTGGTTTTTGGTCTGCTCAAGACAGTGATTAGTGGCAAGGAATTTGGCATTTAAATGATTGACAGGTCTTCAGGACAAAGACTGTGGCTTCCACTATTTTATCAGTGTTTGAGATGCTGTGGATGCTGCAATAATAAATGTGCCACAGTGAATGAGATCATCTGCAGAAAGACATTTGGGGAAATATTTCTTCATTTGCGTGAGGAAGGAGCACTTCTGAAAGGAGTTTTGGGGTGTGTGTCTGTGCTGTGTAATTCCTCACTGAAAGAGATTTTAATTCTCTAATTAGAATAGGTATATATTTAATATTTAAGTTTCCACTCTGTTAAGTGACTTTTATACTCTTGCATTTAATTGTCATTCTGCTGTGTGTCTCCCTAAGCCTTTTACTTCTATTTGTGGAAACAGAGCAGCTTTAACACGTGAATGTATGCAAAGAGTAGTCCATTTTCTGTAGCTTAAAACTGCCAGAGAGGCTTTGATGTTCTAAAGGTTGCCATGAATTAAGCCTAATGCTTTTTCAATTACATTTCAAAATACAAAACATATTTACAGTGAGCTTCCCTTAGAGTCAGGAATGGCAGATGGGAAGGATATACATACTGCTCTGGATAATCCTGGAGTTTGGCAGAGGTCAGATTGTTCACTGACCTTGCAGGATAGTCCTTGTCTTTTTCCCAAGAAGAAGTTTTCTTCAGTGGTGATGACATCTGGGACATCTGTCCCAAATGTTTATCAAAATAAAATCTACTGATCCCAGTTCTCCAGTTAAACTGTTTTTTCCATCTGCCAGGTTAAAAGATTCATATAACAACAATGTCACCATCCCCAAGAGAATCAGGTTAGCAGATCTAGAGAAGAAACAGAAGATGCAAGAAGTGATTTTCTACATCTTGCTGCTCTGTGAATTTTTCAGAAGATCCTACACCTTCCTGACCAGAGTGGGCTCAAATCTGTGTCCTACTGGCCACAGACTTAAGGATTCTGAGTTTTTTTGCAGTGATCCTGGAGATTTTGGCACTTCTGGGCAAAAATGAAATTGCTAATACTATCCCTTGCTCAGCTGCTGTTGTACTCTCATTCACATGGAACTTACAGATTGCCTCTTGCTTTGGTGTGATTTAAATACCAGATATTTGCTAGTAATATTGATAAACTTCTAGCAAGTGTTTTCAAGCAGTGTTCTGGAAGAGAGCAAAGACAGGCTAATGCCTCACTTGTCTGACAAGCCCCTTAAAGATGTGCTGTCCAAGCTGATGGATGTTTCTCCCCCAGATCACTCCACATTTGCAGGGTGCCCTGGTCCTGCAGCAGCTGGGAGGGAGGTGTCAGCTTGGATTGGAAGGATTTTGGGATATGTGTACTTTTCATTCTGGAACTGCTAGTACTTAGCTCTGAAAGAGACATTTCTTTGCTCTGTCATGTCACATTCATTGCTTGGAGTTGCTTTTCCTAACCTGTGTCAATATTAAGAGGAACTCCAGAGGTTTGTGCAGTTCATCAATGGGGATTTCCTTTCCCTTTGTCTGTGCAGGAGAACTCACTATTGCTTTCATGGCTTAGACAGCAGCAATCTATTTTCAATGAGCTCAGCTGAAGTTCTCCCAATGCTCCAGATGCAAACATATTCTCAAAAATATCTGCTTGAAATGAGATGTGTACAGAGTCAGCATGTGGATCATCTTCTTCAGCTTTACCTTTGGGAATGACTTCCAGAGGGACAGCAGTCCCCAGGACTGTTGCCATTCAGCCAGTGAGGCCCTCCACACTGGCCTGGTGCAAACTGAAAAGAAGCTTTTCAGGAGCTCTTCTGCCCCTTGGATTTGACAAGTCAATATCTTGAATATCTTGATTTTACAAAGTCCTTTTTCTTACTGAAACAAGCTTTACAGCAGCTTACATTAGGAAGTGAAGTTGCTGAATCAACTAATAATAGTCTCCTTTCTTTTCATCCTTACTGCTTACACTATGAAAAGTTAATCCCTTCCAATGCATCTTTTCTATGCTGGTCTTCCTTTTTCAGGTACAATAAAGAATAATATTTTAGGCCATATATAATCCCAACTGCTTATCAAGGATGAAGGAAATTCTCCCACCATTCTTCTTGTAACTTTAAAGCTCTGGATGTGATGTGTAGAAGTCTAGAGGAATGACTCAAAGGAGTTTTCACCACATGGTAAATCAAGCCATAAAATTATTTCAGCTGTAATATTTTAATAATACCCCTGGTATTAAGTGCATATAGCTCTACTAACTCCAGCACATTTGTTACACTGATGATCTGACCCTAAGGCTTTATTAATAATAGAAACAAGATTTATTTTAATTGTGTCATGGATATTTAAGTAAAACTCCCTCTAGATTGTAATCTTCTTAAAACACATGGCAGGCTATAGCCCTCAGTCTTTAACCTCACTCTCATCATTTTAACTTCCTTTGAGCTCCACGGCTTTCCTTAATGCCATTAAAAGAGAATCCTGACACAGGAGAACAGCTGAACTCCAAGCTTTGTCAAAACATGATCAGCACATGGGATACATCACTACAGTGCTGTCACCTTCTGACTTGAATTCTGTTTTCAAAACACTTTACTGAACTTGGTTGCTGCTTTAGCAACAGAAGCTGAAAGGCATCACCTTCTATTGAGAAGTCAAAGAGATTTTCAGCAGATATATTCATTTAAGTGTATTGCAGCTATTTAATTAGGAAAAGACATAGAGTACCATTCTTTACATATAAAAGGATCTCTGATATTTTACTGATTAGAAACACCTTTCCATGACGGGGATTTGTGAATTACAAATAAGTATGTTTTTAAACAAACTTATTATAAAGCTATAATTACATTATAGTAAATAATGATGGTTGGATGATTGAAAGACCAGCAGTCTGATAGAAAGAAGTGTTGATATAGTTGATGAGACCCAATAAAGAAAGAAAAATCTTCTGTCGACATCTGTTATAAATCTTCAAAGCCCTTGTCTAAATCAATTATGTTATTCCAATTTATGTAGCTGAAAACACATCTTGGAGTGTTCCAAGATCCTTCCTCAGAAGAGACAGAGGGACCTGAGAAGTAGCTGAGACAGTAATTTGAGTTGAACATACAGCAGTGTGCTCATGGCAAGGAAATCTTAGAAATGCAGTTTAACATCACATTTTGCTGGGAACTAACGAAGTTGCACTTGGAGCAGTGTCCCTGTGCTGGGAGGTCACAGAAGCTTTGACAGCTCTGCTAATGCAAGACTTTAGTGTCTGTGCTGCTCAAAATTTACATTTACACATTGTAATCCCAGAACTCCTTCCTTATATAACTGAGTCTGGACAAGAGTTTCAAGACCAGGGCAATCAAAGGTTTTTCTTTCATTCTCCTGTAAGAAGAGTTGGTTATTGTAGGATATTCTGTTCCTGTGCTGCAATAACTGCTCGTGCTGAGCTGAATGCCCAGGCTGGCATATTTTGGAGAGAAAAACCATGTGCTTTATGTGGGTCAATGTCACATGAACACTCTAAGAAAGTTATGTAAGTACCAAGGCAGAATGTGTTTGTGGTGCATTACTCTTTAGCCTTCCATGCATATTTAACCATTTCTCTTCTGTTACAAGTCATAGGTACCTCTCAAATGCCACATTTATGGCTGGGCTCAGTGAAAGATGCTAAACCAGTGCTCAGGCAGCTTTGATCCAGCACTTGCATTGAGTCACAGGCCCTCTCAAAGCACTGGCAATTCTTCTCTTTGCAGATGGTGCTGTCAGACATTGTCCCAGCCCCTGATTTTTCTCTTCCTGCCTTGTCAGTCACAGTGCAGCGAGAGGAGCAATGTGAGCAGGCGCAGATCTTCAACTGGAGCCTGCCAGGTTTAACAGATAATGAAGACAACACAACCTTGCCTTTGTTTGTGAGGGATGGTGGAAAATCCACATCACTGCTTGTGCCAGGGCTGAGGGGCTGGCAGCTGCCAGGGGCTGGCAAATGGCAACCAGACCTTGGGCTAAAGACTTCAAGGAGCATCACTGGCCTGCCAAGAAGAGGCACCTGAGAGAAGAAGCCTGATTGCTGGGAGAGGCTGTGCCATGAGCACAAATCCCACAGCAACACATCTTCTCCCAGCCAAAACCTGCTGCCTGCTATCCAGATTCCAGATGTGCAGTTTTTCCTGGTTTCCCGTCACATTTGACAAAGCTCCAGCCTTCTTGATCTCAGCTGTTTTATAGTAAGAAGCTGTCACAGCTGCATTTCAGAGTTCACAGATGCATTTTAGGCAGTATACAAAGTATCTTTGTTTCCCTCATGCTTTTTCTAAATTGCTGAATCTATTTTTCCTACTTTTTGTTAGAAAGAAACTTTAAAAAGTATGTGCTTGTAAGTAAAGATGTCACAGTCTTGCCTGAAATTTGTTTTGATTTAAACAGAAATATCTGAAATGGTTTTCCTACCTATAAACATCTCCAGCATAGCTGATTCTACTGTAGGTGGTCTCTGGTGTAAAATAAGTAAATAACTTCCATTTGCTGTCATTCTCCTGTTTGTAAACATGGGAAATTTTAATATACTTATTCTCTTTACCCAGAGCTATGAGTGACATTGGAGATTACATAGGTTCCAACATTGAAATCTCCTGGTTGCCCAACCTGGATGATTTGATGAAAGGGTATGCACGAAATTTCAGGCCTGGGATTGGAGGTAAGACTTGGAGAATAAATAATGTCTCTTTGGTTCTTACAATCCTTCTGATGTTTATGTGAAATTCGTACTTTAAATAATTAAAAAGTTGTGATTATCTTTTACTTGGATGCTGGAAAAAAATAACAATCAACATTTTGCTTGATTTTGACAAGAGACAGACTGTTCAACAGCAACACAGGCTTCTGATGCAGTTCTTAAATCGTTGACATCTAAGTTGAAGGAATTTTGTATTTCATTAAATGGTGATAATTTCTGCATCTGCTTGAAGTCATGCTGTCTTAAACTAGATAATGTGATTTCCAGAAAGGATTCTGTGATTTTCAGTAGTTGTGATTTTATCTTGTGTCTCTTATCACTGAAGTGAGGTGTGCTGTTGGAAATTGAGGGCACAATTGGTAAAAGATTTAAAACTCTTGCTTTAAGAATGTACTTTATAATGGGAAGCACTTCAGTGAACTGATGAAAAAATTAACAGTCTGGGGTCACTGATATTTTTGTGGGTATTATGGTGATATAAATCACCCTATTCAAACATTTTTTTCTCAGGTCCTCCTGTTAATGTTGCTCTGGCAATTGAAGTAGCCAGCATTGACCACATCTCAGAAGTGAACATGGTACAGTATCAGATTTCTTAGTTTTGCTTTAAAAAAGGCAAAGGCTCAAAACCAGAAGCTGTATTTGTTGAGCTATGTAAACTGATTTTCTCTGTCAAGACCTATGCAACTCTTGCAATGTGTTATGTATCACATTGATATTGAATCACTTTTTTATATCCTGTGCTTCTCCATAGTAGGAGCATATGACAAAAATACAAATGCTTGGGCAGCTCCCTGGCTGACTAAGTATAAAAATATGTATTTGCACTGAAAGCAAATAATATATTTCTAGGCTAAGACATTGATTTTTGGCTAAGTTCCAAGATATTTTCATTGTCAGCATCACTTGTTAATTAGGATTTCTCTTGTCACAGGAATACACCATGACAGTATTTTTGCACCAGAGCTGGCGAGACGATCGTCTGTCTTACAACCACACCAACGAAACTCTGGGCTTGGACAGCAGGTTTGTGGACAAGCTCTGGTTGCCAGATACTTTCATAGTCAATGCCAAGTCTGCCTGGTTCCATGATGTGACTGTGGAAAACAAACTTATCAGGCTCCAGCCAGATGGAGTCATTTTATACAGCATCAGGTGAGTGACAAACAGTACAAGCGCTGTCTGTTGTGTGTTAACTTTTTGAACGTTCTATAATCACTCAGCAATCCTAGGAGGATTTCCTGAAATAATTATTAGTTAAAAATTGAAGAAAAGCTCCTATCCCACTATCCTCTTCTTTATGAGAAGTCAGGAAGGTCTCTTTGGCAGCACTAACTCATTTCGCACTGCACAGTCACTGATCATGTTCAGAATGCCCTCAGTGGGGGAGAAGCCTCTCATGGCTTTGGTCACTAGGCAAAGAGGTGCTGAATAGAGAGCAAAGATTCTCTTCTCCCTCACTTTATTTTCCAAGGGAACTGTGAGCCTGATTTAGGCTCAGCTTCCCCATCTTTCACACAAAGTAGCATTTCTCCCTTTTGAAGAGGGCTGTGGCTGGAACTCAGTAACTATATTGACAGTTAATTGTGTAATGTTCTGAAAAATAATGAATGTGCACCTTTGAAATGTAAGTCCAAAGTCCCCCTTAAGGTATTGGTAGTGATCTTGGGGACAGTGAAAGGGAGGATTTTGAATCAGAAAATTCCTTTTTATCATCATCAGTAGCTGCAGAATCCTCTGACGTTAGACGAGTCATTTGACCTTTTTTCAATTCCCTCTGCCTCTGGGTTTCCCACAGACTCAGGCAGCAGCCAGCAGGACTTTGAAAACAGTTTTCTTTGTTAGTATTAAGGTTTCAAAGTTTTCCACTCAGCCTTCTGAGTTCTGAGGGAAAAGATCTGTCTGAATGTCACTAACTGGTGTTCACGTTGCTCCAAACAGGATTACCTCAACAGTGGCCTGTGACATGGACCTTTCCAAGTACCCAATGGATGAGCAGGAATGCATGTTGGATTTGGAGAGCTGTAAGGGCTGAGTACCTCTGTGTTTTGTGTAAAGCCTGCATACACGGTGCTGAGACAGCTGGACTTTGCTGGGCTGATTCTGCTTTGGTCACTTGGGGTTTATAATGAGCAGAAATATCTTCATTCCCTGTGTTGGGCATTAAACTGTGGAATTTTCAATACCAGTTCAATCCTGGTCCAATCCAAATCTCTAGGATTTGATTTAGGGATGATGAACAATGTACAATCCTGCTGACAAATGTCTGGAACTTTGTGCTTCATGTGGAACCTTGTGCAGTTGTGACAGTCTCTGGCATTACTGAGGTTTTTATCAAATCCAGTGAGAACGAGTAGAAAAGCCCACAGGCAAAATGTGATGTGCTATTTTTAATTTATGAGAAAATAGGAAAAAGAAAGAATTCCCTGCTTTTAATGAATGCCATTGTGACAAAACTTCACATAGCTCTTTAACTTGCCTTGGCATTCGTGTATCTGTTACACAGAAATCCATCAGAATACTGCATGGATGGGCTTAATTCATTTGTACTCACAAAGGAGGGTGAAGAATGGATTTATATTTTATCCAGCTTGTATTTAATCTATGATCAGCATGTAATTCCCATGAGCATTAATACTTCTGAATGAAAACCACCACTGGCACAAGCAGGGACCACCCAGTCAGGGAAAATGAATCTGGTTTTTAGATCAAGAAGCCTAAAAGTCCTGAGGGTTGCAGAGATGTGGGAATAGCAGATCCTGAGCAGATCCCTTGGCCTGTTGATACAAGTTTCCCGTTTTCTTTTTTGTCACTGACTTTGTTTTCTAGGCTGTTAACCACAATACCATTTTATCCTGTCAAAAATAGCAATCTACAGTTTTACTTACATAATCACCAAATGCAGAGGCAGCAGACAGTGCCCCAGCAATTCATTCCCTCTCCCAGTGAGTTCTGCAGGGAGTTTTGGTGGGGGTTGGAGGTTTTAATTGAATTTGAGGGTTTTCATTTCAGTGAAGCAAACAGAAATAAAGTCTCTTTAAACAAATGAGCGCTTTAGTAGCAAGTTGTCAATGAACAGCAAAACTAGGGAAGATTGATTTCCTGTGGATTTGCATATTACATAAATCCTCTCATTCATATCCCCCCTTTCTGCCAGAGCCCTGGTACCCTGCACCTCTCCAAAGCAGAGAGAATTATCCAGACTGAATCTCAGCACGTTTGCAACGTGTCTGGTGGAAATCAGCATAGCAGGGGAATTAGAGAACTTCTACTACGAATTCTCTAAGCTCTGAATTTCTCCCTTGAATTTTGTGTTTATTCAGCTTTCTTTTGACAGATGGCTACTCTTCAGAGGACATTGTCTACCACTGGTCAGAAAACCAGGAGGAGATCCATGGGCTGGATAAGCTGCAGCTTGCTCAATTCACAATTACCAATTACCAGTTCACAACAGAAATTATGAACTTCAAATCTGGTAACAGAATCTTTCTTCAATTCAGGGACAGTATCTGACTTTTTTTTTCCTGCAGAGAGAAACCTCCTCTATCTATAATAGAAAATCCTTCTTCTTAAGTAACTAATTTAAGAACCTGTCAGGTTGCTGATAAGTTTCCTTCATCTTCCACTTGTAAGAAGTGCCATTCTTTGCTGAGCCTCTAGGTAGCCACTGTAGCATGGTCTGTCCTTTAGCTCTCTCTGCTTGACAAAATACTGCATGGAGTAGCCAGACAGCACTTGATAAAAAGCACTTGAGGTATAGCTCACATTTTCTTGACCTAATTTGCAACTTCAGATCAAGAAAAATTTCCATTAGCCCTGATGTTATGGAGCTTATGACGTACAGTCAGATCAGTCTAATTCTACCCCGTAGAAGTCAGTGGTGTGTATGTCTATCACTGGGCTTATTGCAATGTTTGTACAAGATTGGAGTCATTTCTTTCCTGCTGATTTTTCATCCTCTTTCATGTATTCAGATTCTCATTTATGCTGCACATCTCCTCTAAGCTCTTTTTTGAGTTTGAAATTAACTTGGCCTTTTAAAAAATCTAAATTTAGTATCTGGAGGACTTTCTACAGCAGATGATAAGACAGTACACATTTTGAAGCAATACTGTTATTTGAGAAGACTCATGATTTTATTTTCAGATCTGGCATTGATATGACCTGAGACAAATCATTTGACCTATTCTTAGCTGATGAAAGCTGCAGTACCTCGTGCAGGGTTTATGAAGCATCAATCGAACAGCATTCAAAAAAGCTTTTTGTGACCCTTGTGCAGAAGATGCTAAAGAGTGTATCTCTGTGTCATTATCTGAAATGTCATTTTTAATAGCAATCTAACTGTAATTCACGCAGCCAGAATCTCTTCTGCCTGCTCTCTTTTCCAGCAGGTCAGTTTCCCAGGCTCAGTCTCCACTTCCACCTTCGGCGAAATCGAGGAGTTTACATCATCCAGTCTTATGTCCCTTCCATCCTACTGGTGGCCATGTCGTGGGTGTCCTTCTGGATCAGCCAGTCAGCTGTGCCTGCCAGGGTGTCACTAGGTAAAACAGATGGCTCAGGGACTCACGGGGAAGGGAGTGCTCAAGTGGGAATTGTGCTCTCTGATAATCCTCATTAAGGTGCATTTATGACCACTATGTTTACATTTGCAGAAGGGAGGGTTCTTTGAAAGATTTCTCTCCTGGTTTAATTTCTGTCGTGTTATCAGAGCAGCTGCCTCAGTAAGGAACAGCAAATAACCACCTAGGGAGGGTTAAAAGCAGTAATGACTGTGAAAGAAATGAAAGAATTGATTTGAAGGAACTGGGACAGTGACAAAAAAATGTTCTTGAAGCTTGTGGGTCTGTTTGTCTGACTAAGGGTTGCCAGTCCAGATGTAAAAGTGTTTGAGGGTTAATTCTTTGGGCTTTGTTTCTCCTGATCTAGGACAAAACCAAGGACAACTTGTTCAAAGCTGCCTTAGTTATAAAAATGCAGTTTCTTAAAAATTCCCCTGTTTTGAAAATCAGAAGCCATGGTATTAGGGGCTTTAACTGTGAAAATAATCCTCAGCCTCCTATTAATAAATATATTTATGTACATTAGTGCATATATTTCTCTCTCATGCTGCCCTGCAGGCATCACCACTGTTCTTACAATGACCACTCTGATGGTCAGTGCCCGATCCTCGCTCCCACGAGCCTCTGCCATCAAGGCACTGGATGTTTACTTCTGGATCTGCTACGTGTTTGTCTTTGCTGCACTGGTGGAATATGCCTTTGCACATTTCAATGCTGACTACATGAAAAAGCAGAAGAACAAGATAAAGGCGAGAAGGCAGAGTGCAGAGGTCAGTAAGTGTGATACTGGGAAAAATTTTGCCAAAGCAGTCATCCTGCTTCATGACCTTTTACTACAAATTCTTCCTGAGAAGAAAGGCTTTGAGAATGTTCTTGATGGTGCCTCAGTAATCCAGAGCATGCAAAGCCATAACCAGAATTATGTGGGTAGCACAGAGTGTTCCATGAGTTCTGCCAAAGCAGGGGATAAATCCCATTCACCACATATGGATCCCAGGGGTGTTTCACCATGCTGGTGCCATGGATAGCTTGGATGAATGACACTGTCCTTGCCCTGTAAATTGCCATTATTCTCCTCTTTCCTTTGCAGATCAACGTGAAGAATGCCATTGTTCTGTTTTCCCTCTCCATAGCTGGTGTGAGCCAGGAACTGGCCATTTCCAACAGGCAGCACCGAATTCCCAGAAGCCTGCCTGGATCATATGGCACAATAGAAATAGAAACTGGAGAGACAAAACAGCAGCAGGGAATGAAACTGGACAAAAAGACTGGCCTGAAGTCCCTCTTTAAGCCCATTGATGCTGACACCATTGACATTTATGCCAGAGCCGTGTTCCCAGCAGCCTTTGCAGCAGTCAATGTTATATACTGGGTTGCCTACACAATGTAAAGGCAACAAAAAAAGGAAAATTCTTCCCTAGACCTACAAACTGAACAATACCCACAGGCTAAAAAGCCCTCACTGAAACTGAATTGAAGCACCTCTTCTCGAAGTATTTTCCAATGAGCTCAAACACTTCCAAAGTCAAGAAGGTCCTGCTATGAATTCCTACTTAAAGCAGCAATTTATTGCTGACCTGATTTGATACGTAAGACTGCACTCTGCCAAACAATTCCAGCTCTTCCTTTCCTGTAATACCATGAGACAACTTTTCATATGTACATATTTGTAGCAAAAGTTTAAATCTTAAATGACCATGGTTTTCCTCCACTTCAAGGCTGATCAGTAATGAAGATTTGGCTTTTCACACTCAGATAATTTCCTTTTTATTTGTAATGAAAGAGCTCATTCCTCACTTCTGCACGAGTGGTTTTCTGCATCTGTGGGCTGGTCTAGGTTTAACAGTAGTGCTAAAGTTGGAGTTTTTAATCAGAAAAATCTCATGAACAAAGTAAAAGGGAATAGAGGGGAATGGAGGTTTTTTCTTAAAATATTATTTGTCTTGGATAAAGTATTGAAAAATTTCAATGCTCTTAGTCACAGCATGAAATAAAATATACTACATAAAATTCTACTGAATTGTTAATAATGACTGTATTACATTTCAGATCTGAGCTAATGAAAGTTTAAACATTTAAACACAGAAATGTTTATTAGTTTAATAGGCCCCAAAACAGATAAAGTGGTTTAGAACCACAGGGAAAGCTCAGGCTTCCTGTGTTAGATTGGGAAAAATTTGAAAGGTGCTTCATAATGAAGGAAGTCAGACTCCATTTGCAGGAATGACTTTAGAATTTGTTCTGTTAATTTTCACTGAGAATCTACCATGTGTGCCTCTGAAAATATCCTTTTTGAATCTGTCCCTAAATAGCTGAGGGAAGTAAAAAAATTTCATAACTGTCTTTAAGTTATTCCGTTGCTTTGGATATTTTTGCTGGTTTTATTCAGAGGCTGACCTAATCTCTTAGGCCTCTTCACTTCCATTATTCAACAGTGAAATTTATGGGTCCTCATACACACTGCTTAATTCAGGACTAGATCTCTCACCCAACTCATGCAAAATAACACTTTGGTCTGTAAATAATCTCAGTGAGCTCAGCAAGTGAACACAGTACTCACAACAAACTAGTTTCACAATTATTCTCTAAAATCTCCACAGTACATATATTGGAATATGGATTAAAACAACTGTAATATTGTTAATGTAGGAAGCCAATGTAATACATTACAAAAGGGCAATTTATTTTTGGGATATTGTTGCCTCGAAAGTGAGAGGTTGTTTTAAAAATAGAGACTGCCACAAAAGAATAGGTGAAATGAGAGAGAGGAAAAGAAGGAAGCAAAGCAAGAGGCTGAAAGCTGCAATGGAAAGGAGCATGCAGAGAGACTAAGCCAGAAGCTGTAGGTGAGAGAAGAGCTTTGCTGGCATTTAGGATGGGGCTCTTGAACGTGTGGCTGACAATTAATAATTGCAATAGAGGTGAAAGGAGGATTTGATCCCAGTGGAGTATGTGCACATTCCTCCTGCCTTAGCTATGGTTTAAATTTTCATTTCATATGATATGACCAGCACTGAAAGATAAAACATTCTAGCACTGATTTATAACTTAGAATAAGATTTGCTCAGTATCAGCAAAGTAAGAGAATGCTTTGAAGGAAAAGTAATTATCTTGAGCTGGGCTGCAATAGAAAATATGTTGCACTGTAGGTCTTAGGTTCACTTCAATCTTTAGTTTCTGTTATCATGGAAAAGCCATCAGCCAACAGAGAGCTGGAAAACCCCAGGTGACATCAAGCTAGATTGTTCCACCCAGTCCTCACCAACCCAGCCCTGCACTGACACCTGGATTCTGCTCCCACATCTCACCACTGAGCTGCTGGGGAATCTCAGTCAAAACCTTCCACTGAATCATCTGAACAAGTGCTATAATGATTTCTTTCCTGTATCTTTGAGTTTTACAGAAGAAAAGCCCTTCAGGAGAATCAAAACCTGCTATCCTCCAGCTAGGTAAGTGCATCCAATCAGTACTTTCATGGTACTATTCACCACTGTTTCTGAGGCTCACATACTGAATTAAGGCCAAGTATCACTCAAATGTCACCTTACCCAGAAAAGCAAACGAAAATCTGCATTTCTTTCAATATATTCAGGTAATCAAGTTTTTTCTTTCCCTCCTGCTTCTCCTCTTTCTAATTTGTTTTTCGTATTGTTTGTTCCTGATGCTGATGGAATGCTGCATTTCAGAAATACACTATATTTTTTTCTAAGTGTGTTTTTGGTCATAATCACTTTCTCTCCAAGGAAACGCAACCTCTTCTGCCTTCTTCTGAATAAATCCTACTGCTCTATATAACGATTTAATGCAGAGTGGAATAAAAGCAGCAGAAGCATGAGTTTACAATGCCTTTTCCTTACTAAGTTGTTGTTTTTTCCATGATCCATCACCACAAAAATAATACATCCTTTGGAAAGATCACAGTGCCACCGCCTTCTCTGTTACACTTGCAAAAATCAGAAATAATCTTTAGTTTAAAATCAGATTAACTTTTTCTGGGAAAGCAGAATCCAGCCTTTTTATATCCCACTGTTTTCTCCAGCTATTAGTTTATTATGTAGTCTGTCAATGTTAGTAACTTCTGCTAAGAGTGAAATTATTGACTAAATCCAGCTGGAGGAATATTCACAGCAAGTTCCTGAGGAGTGCAAATCACAAGAAAATAATCCATGATTTTGGAATTAAAGTTATTAAAGAGCAGAGAAGGAAGCACAGCCCTAGTCCCTCTAGTGTGCAGTGGCCAGTTATTGAGAGTAATTAGCAAGAAGGTGGCTGCAGATATTATAAAGGCAATGTCTAATCTAATTACTTCAGCAGTAACAGTTTGCAATTGTGCACCTGACATAACTCCTTTCACTGCAGCCAACTGACTGATCACATGGGGTTATTGGACAAAATTAGTTGCTTCTCCATCTGGGAGACAGTCACAGGCTGCAAGTCCTGCTGACTGCTCCAGAAGATTTATTCAGTGAATTTTCTCTCTAGTTTGACTGCAGATCTTCAAGGTGCACAGCTCAGTCTGACTGATCAAAGTAAAAGGTGGCAGCAATCTCCTGAAAAAACCCCAAAGCCAGAATGTCAGACTACCCACAGTGATGTAGACAGAAGCATAAATAAAAGGCAAAAAATATCTCAGAAAGTTGCAGGGAGTTGGAGAAGCGCCCTGTGAGCACACATATGACAACCTGTCCATCCCAGAAACAAGGGGATCTGAGGGGAGAGCAGGAGTTTCAGCTGCTGTTGTTGCACTTGCATGAGTAGCACAAGACAAAACACCTCCATCAACAAGAGGGAGATTTTCTTAAATTGGTTTCCAAGGCCAGAAACTGAAAATTCAGATGCCATTCAAACTTTTGAGGAGACATTTCAGTACAGGAGTACGGTGAATTGATTGGAGTTTTGCATAAATTTGAATCTTCCATACTTTTGTATGTGCTTCACCTTTTTTTTTTTAAATTTAAAATCATTGTATTTAAAAATCCTCAGACATTACTGCTTTAGACCTATTAACATCTAAAGACAATTCCCTATTCAACTCTAACTTCATGATGCCTTTAATAAAGTGAAATAAGCCAGATTTGATGTCAGTTGAATGCTGACTTTGGATGGGTTGTACTAGTGCCATAAAAAAAGTATGTGACAGATGAGAAGGCACTTTTTCTGTGCTGCACCTGAAAGCATTTGTGTTCCTTTCAGCAATTTATAGTACTGCTCTATGGACTGGCGTGTCTGTGAGAAAAAGAGTGGGATATGTGTTAATGTAATCATTCTAAATGTGAAGTGTTAATAAAATGTAGATATACAGAAATTGGAGCTTCTATAAACGGACAAAATAGGCATTCCAACTATTGAACTGGAAGATAAAATGCATTAGAAGGAAAATCAGAATGACCCTAGAGATTTCAGCCCATAATGACATCCTGCCTTTTCAGTGCCCAAGGGTTTGCAAAACTCTCCTTTGGCCTTGACAACAGAAGAGGAAGCACCACTGTGTGTTCATGAGAGCTTTCAGGGGGGCACTTATGCACACTGCTGTACTGATGTGAAAAAATAGCTATTGCTGCCTCATGAGGTTGGAAAGAATCAGAAAGCACAAGAAGAAAGATGAAGAAGAGCAAGATACTGCATTTATTTGAAAGTAATGCTGGCATTAATAGTGACAGCACTATGAAGAGGTTAAAAACCAGAAATGTCTGCCCTGTTTCTGGGTAAAAATGAGAGCATTTATCCCAGTTAAAGCTCTCACATCAGTTTTGAACTGGTTTGCTAATCCAATAGATAATGTAGCGAAACCAATTTAGCTCAATGAGGTTTCTGCTGTTGGGACAACAAAACACTTAATACGATTGCTCTGATTTTAAATACTCCCAGTCATTACCCTGGAAAAGCACTTCTCGTTAGGAGGAAAACAGCACCCTGTGTATTTGTCTCTGAAGCAGAACAGATAGCAAAAAGCTTATTGAAAGTTTCTGAGAATATTTTTGTTTAAGAAAAAAAACTGAAGCAACTCCCTCCTGCCCTGTTTATTGCAGCAGCTTAAACCACTTGCCGTGGTTGAAAGCCTGTTTGATATTAAAATAACATTGTGTGCAATATATGTTACAAACATAAAGAGCTGATTCTTCCTAATGAATACTGAATACAAATTTGGCAATGAATATGTGTTTTTGGATGGATTTGGTAGATAGATGAGAAAGGCAGTGTGTCTTAATTTAATTAATTTGAGGATCTAAGCCCCTCATTACATAATGCATCAGGGATCTGCTCTCTCCTTATACCAGCTTTGTGCCACAGCTATTTCTTTTACTAAGTCCTGCACAGTAAAAACAAATCTGAGAAGACAGCCAAGCCCAGACTGTCAGAAAATATAGCAGGAACAGAACTAATCAGATGTTATTGGGAGTTCACTGTTCCATGAAAAGATTGGTCCAAAAAAGTGAATCCAAATATTCTGCTTTCTGAGACACTGGAAACCTCTGAAAACTTATCCTGTCTTTAATTCTTGCAATACTTCTATTTCACTTGATCCTCAGTTCTCTTTCCATTTTTTATCCTTTTGGAAAGGGGAAGAGGATTTTCTTTCTCTTTGGC